ACCTTCTCATGCAGGAGGCCCTTTGGGTCCAGACGACCCCTGAGCCGGCTCTAGAAAAGCAGCAGAAGCTGGGACAGAGCAGAGTTGGACAGCTGTGTAGTGGGCCACAGCTTGGCTCAAGAAAGCAGCCCTGGTCACAGGTTGTGCGACCAGCGCTGAGAAAATCTTCCCAGTGAAACTACCAAATACCTCATATGTCCAGCAGGATGTACAGGAGTAACAAATAGTTTTTGGGGTTCGCATATGCTTTTCTCGGGACTGGGTTTCTAATTTAAGAAGGTGAGGGATGATTTTCAAGTCCTTCTACAGCTTCTAGCAATTCTATAGCTTTTGGAGGTTTGTAACTATTAAGTTTCTTTGCCAGAATTCCGTTTCCCTGCTGTCTGTCTCTTTAAACCAGCTGATTCCGCCTCTAGCCCGCCCTAAGTGTGGGCTCTCTGCTGGGGGATACCTAGAAGCTTGAGGGAGGACATTGGTAGGCTAGAGGAACTTGGTTCAAAATCAGGCTTTCCGCCTTAAATCCCTGAACCAACGTCCTCCAGTCTTCCATCTTAAAACAAGCGGCACTTGGCAATCTCAATCACTTCTTGTTCCTATTACTTCTAGCCCTGTTCATCTTACTCTGAATATTCCCTCGATACCTCTTCCCACAGTGCTCCATCTCCAAGGTTGGAAGAGTCATTCCATCTACAGATATCTCCTGGGCACATTTTATTACATAACTGACCCCTCCTGAACCTGTCTCCCCTTCAGAACCTGTGCCAAAATTGTGCAGATGTACGAGGGACCATTTCCCAGCAGCCTGTCTGCAACCCAGATTGCCACGAGATGGAGCCTCAGAACTTGAGGACTGCCCTGACACTATTTGTCAGGGGACCCAGGACTTGGGCCTGAGGAACTGCAAGGCAGCCATGGGTCAAAAGCAAAACAGGTTAGTGATGGAGAAGTCCAACCGGTTGGCCCATAAGAAGCTCCTTCTGGTGTGATGTGCACAACAGAGAATATAGAGTTTGATGAAGCAGTGGGGAAGCAGGAGAATTAAAAGAATTAAGAAGATTTGGGTCACAAGTAGGAGGTGAGGTGGGATAAATTTGAGGAAGAGAGCCTAGTAATACATGAAATTAGAGGGGACTAAAGCCAAAGTGTTACCAAGATTTAATGTGTATCGGATCATCAGGACGATTTTTTCTTTATTCCTTTTCTTTCTTTCTCTTCTTCAAAAACAAAATGGCATGCCGGGCCAGGCCGCGTAAGCTCAATACCTGTAATCCCAGCCCTTTGGGAGGCTTGGGTGGGCGGATATGAGGTCAGAGATCAAGACCCATGATGTCCTAAACATGGTGAAACTCCATCCTCCACTAAAAATACAAAGTTCGCCAGACGTGGTGGCGGCACCTGTACCCCAGCCACCTTGGAGGCTTGAGCAGAGAAATGGGGGGGTGAACCCGGGAAGGTGGAGCTTGCAGTGAGGCAAGGGTCAAGAAGCACTCCATCCCTGGGCGACAGAGCGAGACCTCACCTCGAAAAAAAATAAAAATAATGAAATAAAAAATAAACAAAATAATATAATAATGGCATGCTTCATGAATTTGCAATGTTACTCCTTGCATAGGCCCTGTGCTATCTGTATCATTCCCAATGTTTTTATGTGTATGTAACTGCTGACCAACACAGAACAATGCCAGTGCCGATACCATGCTAGACCTGGACTTAAATAAAAACCTTGGGAGGCCTGGGACGCAGTGGGACATCACGCCTGTAATCCCAGCACTTTTGGAGGTCTGAGGCGATGGATTTTGCTTGAACCCAGACGGTTGCAGACCAGACTGGGCAACATGGTGACAACCCTGTCTCCACTAAAATAGAAAAATGAGCTGGTGTGCGTGGCGCATGCCTGTCAATCTCAGCTCCTCGGGGGCCTGGGGTAGGAGATCCTCTGAGGCCCAGGGAGGTGGAGGGTGCAATGGGCCAAAATCCGCACCACTGCACTCCAGCCTGGGTGTCAAACAAGACCTTCTCATAAAATAAAAAAAATAGCCTCTGGGGGAAGGACGTCCCAGACATCTGCATCTGCCTATTTTTTTCTTTTTTTTTGGACGAGTCCTACTCCTGTCCCCAGCCACGCAAGGCTGGAGTGCAGTGGTGCTGATCTTGGGCTCACTGTAAACCCTCTACATCCTGGGCTCAAAAG